AGGCATGCCATGGACCCGGAGCCCCTCGTGGGTGAAGTCTTGCTTATTACCTTGGGAGTAGAGCTAACTTAGCTCTATAAAGAATGGCTTCTTCTCCATTCTTCTCTCTGTTGGTGCCACTTCAACTCAACCCCAATCTGCTGGTAACCTGATTTTTAACTATTCATGATTCAAAGACCTTAAAGTTGTAAGAAGATTTTCATTTAATAGGAAGAGAAAATAAAGCACAACCCCAATCTGTATGTGGGTGGTATTCYCCACAGGATTTCAGCTAACATTTGGTTTCCTTTTATCACTTTCAGTTACCCATGTAGTCATGCCGGCCTTTATGCTGTGTGTAGAAAATTTTGTTTTGCCAGTAATTGGTCATTTTATGTTAGAAGGCCATAATGGAGTGGAACAGAGAACTTCTGAASACAGATACAGTTTTATTGTATTTGATGATTGTAATCCATCCTTATTACTAGTAATTTTCAAAGTAGGTTTATAGCATTTTGGCCACTTCAAAATAAGGCTTAAACACTTGTTAATAACCAGATGAAGATACTCATTGGTAGAATATAAATTGAGATAATTACCTTTGAAGAATACTTAGTCATCAGAAACCATTTACCTCTTAAGACTATAACTTTGGGAAGACATTGAACTGTTCCTAAGAAAAGCTCTGGTAATGCAGATTATATAGATATAATTCAGTTTGAATGGAGTTTTGAGTAATGAATAAAATACCCAAGCTAGAAGACCAGAAAGAAATTGTTTTCTGAAATTTAACAAGTGCTTTGTAAAATCAAGTCTTCTTAGATTTACTAGTGTAAATATCAGTCAAGCTGCTTAAAGACAAGCTAAAAATAAGAAAACTAGGAGTAAACATTATATAGAAATCAAACTTTTTAAATATAACTTTTCAGAGAACATATTCAGTGTATAAAGTGAATCTCAACTTTAATATTCTTTCTTTTTTTATGTAATAGGGAGCTCACTTTCAAAATCCAACCCATATACTAAAATCTGCTGGACTTACCTGCAAATTGATAAATAAATATTTATTTTACAGTTTAAGCCAGTAGAAAGGGGAGTTTGGAAAATGATAATGGAGATGGTACAAAATAAGGTTGGAAAGTTATAAAGGAGCCAGATCTTAAAGGATCTTTTGTACTCAGTGTATTAGTTTTTTATTGCTGTTGTAAAAAATTATTGTAAATCGTTGTTTTCGTGGTTTAAAACAATACCTACTTGTTTTTATCCCAATTTCTGTTGTCAGAAGTCTGGGCACAGTGTGGCTCAGCTGGCACTCTGCTTAGGGTCTCACAAGTGTGAAATCAAGACATCAACATTATTGGAGGCTCTGGAAAAGAATCACCTTGCAGGCTTATTCAGGATGACACTTTCTATGTGACTTCCTCTATCTTCAGGCCACTAATTGTGTGTCACATCTTTCTTATACTACTAACTGGAGAATCTCTCTAGTTAGTCGCAGAAGAGATTTTATTTCTTATACTACTAACTGGAAAATCTTTCCTGCTTTAAGATTAGGCCCGCACAGATATGTAGACCATAATTCTACCTACCACAAGCATGTTAGAGTGAGGGCTTTATTCTGAGGGATATGTATTTTAAGTAGAGGAGTGAGCTGATTAAATTTGTGTTTTATAATGTTCACTTTGGTTATAATATAGATACGGATTTCATACAGTGAATAATAAGTGCTGTCCTTGGTGCTGACCACATCACCTTAGATGTGATCTGGAGTTCACAACTGCTAGGGCTGTTGACTCCAGGAACATTCTGCTTGAATTTCAGTCTGGTAATTAGGAAGCCTTTTTCCAAACTGTTCCCATACCATGTCTCCTAGATCACTATTTCCTTTGAAATTCAGGACTGACCGTGATTGATTGAAACTAAACCTCATCCACAGGGGAGTGTGGGAAATTCAGTTTTCAGCTTTCTGGTCTTTGCAGAACAGAAAGGCCTATCAGGAGGAGGCCTTTCTGTACTGCAGAATAGATATAGGAAGCTCATCTCGTTTAGGCATCCATAGAAAACCATGGCAATCCATATATTAACAAGGCCCTGGATTTACAAGGCAATAAACAAGAAAGATGCATATAGATTTTTTATTTGTTAAAATTAATAATACATGACAGTAGAATGCATTTTGACATATGATACATGAATGGAGTATAACTTCTCATTCTTCCAGTTGTATAAGGAGAATTAGTAAGATGGGTAATTGATTGAGAGAAATAGAGAGGAAAGATAGGAGTTCAGAATGACCACCTAGTTTCTGGCTAGGGTAAATAGGTAATGCTATTTCTATGAAAGAATGACAGATAAAATGGAGTAGCAATGGTTTCTGGACACGTTGATTTTGAGAAAATTCTAGGACTTCACAGTGTCCCAATTTGTAGACCATTTAATTTATAGTACCCTTGCTCATTTATAGAACTGCATAATTTTGTCATAATTTTGTGTACAAATATGTTTGTAGTTGAGATTGGTTCCATTAGCTATAGTGTTAAGTATAAATGAGCCTAGGAGTATACATTATTATTATTATAAGTTTTAGTTTTTTATTTAAATAGACTCATAGCTTACCACTAGTCCTTTTATCTTATTGTTGAATAACTTTGTTTTTGTTTCCCCCAGAAGGACTCATGGGTACTCTACTCTCTAAGTCCTTTCTTGTTTCACAATAGCTGTTTGTTAAATTTCTTCCTAAACAAAACTGGGCTGGTATAATATTCTTGAGTCATCCTTTCTAATTTTTTTATTTGGTCAGTAATAGTGTTGTTGTGTTCTTCAAGTTTGTTTCAGTCTGTCTGCACTCTCCCTTTCTATCATGTTCTATAGTTTATTATATATCTTTTGAGCCCTCGGGTTGTTATAGCCACACACTTATTTCTAGTCCTTACAGTATTTGGGGTGCATTTTCTTCTTCATTTGTGTTTTCTTTTCAATTGAGTTCTGCCTGTTTTTTACTTATTTATGTGTTCCTTTCCTTCATTCTTTTTGCTGTGATATGTACTTAGTTATTATTTCCTTGACAAAGTTTGAGGGCTAGGATGTTACTATGTTGTCTGATTTTCTATAGTCTGAGGAAAAACATCTGGATTTGGGGATCAGCTTATATTTGACCACGTGACTTCTGCTGTCTTTTGAGGTTGTTTAAAATGAAATAATCTGCTTTTACCTACTTGAAGGCATATGCTAAGAAATGGGGTAGGGAAAAGATACTTTTAGACTGTGAATCACTGCACGTTTTAAGATTGGCGCTGTGGACAACTTCATCTTTTTGTTTTTGGGGTTTTGGTTTGTTTTGGTTTGTTTGCCTTTGCTAAAATCCCAACATCCTGACAGATACAGAGGCTTTTTGTCACCTCTTCAGCCTGACGGACTCCTTAGCCCCTTCTTGTGCTTTTCTTTAAATTAGGAAGTATTATCAGGACACTCAGGGTTTATCTCTTTACTCTCATTCTCTATGATGGTGTCTGGGGTTTGGATTCTGATCCTTGTTTCGCTGAACAGCATGGTGCAGAGCTTTTGGTTTCTTTAAAAAGGTTAGACAGTAAGGTTATGTCCTCTTTTCTTTTGTTGCTGCTGGTTATTTTTTTTWAATCTTTTTAAAAAAATGCTATTTTTGTTTTAAGTCCTAAGAAAAGATTCTGAGATCTGTTTCATCATACCTTTTCTAAGAAGTCCCACATAAGTAAGTAGATTTCAGTCTTATATTTTCTAAGGGATGCATGCATTTTACTAATATAAGCTCCAGGGCAACCAAGATATAATGCTAATATTTTTATTTAGATATGAACTTAGRATTTATAAAATGTTCACTCATTGTTATTTTATTTAATTCTTTTGATTATCTTATAAAGAAAGAAGGGTGGGACTTAATAACTAGTTTTACTAATGAGGAAACTGAGATCTAAAAGGATTGAGTGAGTTGCCATGTCACACAGCTCATTACAAGATGGAGTCAAGACTCTAAAGTCAGAGATAATGCTACTTTTACCATGCCTTGTTACTCCACTTATAGGAAATTATTACCTCCATCTCTAAGCACAGATGTCTTACTATATCATTAATGTTCCTACAAACTTTATTATGACACTGAATTTACTGAGTAAAAGCCATGAAGTGAGAGAAATTGGAGAACAATCTTGTGTGACTATGGTATTCTGATTCATAATTAAACTCAGTGTGACTTAGTTATAATAAAAGTCATATTAAGTCTTTTTACCACCACCACCCCAAATTCCTCAATAAAATTCTCCAAGGATGACTGTGAATACAAGATATTCTACTTGGGTAATTTGACCCTGTGGGCCCTATTCTCATTTCTATAATTTACTTTCTTCTTGATGTATTTTGCTTTTTATTCCTACTTTAATGAACTTGTATTGTTTATTTTCTCACTTTTTTTCTTCCAAGACTGTATCCTTGACTTTTCCATAAATTCCTTGTCTTACAGCTGAGGCCAGGCTGGAACATTTAAACAAGCTGGGTTCATAGCCAACATATGTGTTGTTGGCTACCCAAGACCTCAGAAATTGCTGACCTACTTCCATCATCCCATTTATTATCAAGGAACATATACTTAGATATCTTCCCTTGATGATGACAACTAAGAAAGTACATCACGTGGAGAAGTTAGATTTTCTCAGTAATCTAGGTTCTAGGTTCTGTTTTCTTTCCAAATCCATTCTTATCTAATGCAGACCTGGTGACCATCTAAAGGATAAATACTTTCTCTCTCCACAAGGATGTGATTTGCTGTGGTTTCAACAGGACAACCCTATCAGGTCATAAAATCCACAAGCGTGATCCAGTCAATCTAGATACATACCTACCTATATAAAACAATAAATAGAGGAGGTAATATTAAAATAAGATATTGAGTAGCAGTATAGTTTACCTATAGTCCGAAAGAAATCCATAGCTCATGAGCTAGTAGTTTAAGCTGACTCTTCTTTTTTTTATCCATGTTTTTATCCTTCTAGGTATCATGAACTGATAACAAAATATGGGAAGTTGGAGCCTTTGGCGGAAGTGGACCTAAGACCCCAAAGCAGTGCAAAAGTAGAAGTCCACTTTAATGATCAAGTGGAAGAAATGAACATTCGGTTGGACCAAACTGTTGCAGAACTAAAGAAACAATTGAGAACTCTAGTGCAATTACCCACAAGCAACATGCTCCTCTACCATTTTGACCATGAAGCACCCTTTGGCCCAGAAGAAATGAAGTATAGCTCTCGAGCATTGCATTCCTTTGGCATTAGGGATGGAGATAAAATTTATGTGGAATCCAAAACAAAATAACCTCTACCAGCCTTGTAAAAACACACATGAGGACTTCTTGCAGGGCATTTGGTTCCAATGTGGTTTTCTTTAGGAGGGAGAAGGTTTTTGTTTGTTTTGTTTTGTTTAGCCTTGGGAGGGGTTTTGTATTTTTTTTCCCCTGGAATGGGTAGGGGGCCATTTTTTGGTATTTTCTACCACAGATTTCTTCGGCTCAGCCAGCAGAATTGGTCCCATATCCAGTCCATAAGCCCTCTCATGAAAGATGACAACAAAATCACCGACTTCTTACTGTGCTCACTAGGGTTTGTCTGCCATTTGGTCATCATTACCCTTAGGTATCCTCATAAAAATAGCATGAATAGCCTAGCCCCTCAGAAGGGTGTCTGACAGTATTTAAATCAGGAGTCAAGGACACTTCACAGGAAGGGCCATCACTTCTCTCCCACTTCTCCCTGTTTCCCTCCCTCTCCCTCTCCCTCCCTCCTTTTTTTGGTTCACTTTATTAACTTTGATTTGTGTCAGCACATGTTTACCTAATAGTTTTATTCTATTCAAAATTAACTTCTTATTTCTCAACTTGAGTGATTTTTCCTCCTTCATTTCTCCCTTTTAAAATAATTTTGAGTGTTTTAATAAGCATTTTTCAACCTGATTCTGATCTCAGGTATTCAGTAAGAACCTGTAACTCTGTTAGGATCTTAAAGAAGAGCAGATGGAGAGTCAGAACTCCAGGAAAACTTGATATTTTTCTGGAAGCATGGGCAGAGCAGTCTGATCTCTTTATGCTACTATCTCACTTTTAATGCCCCTCGTGTATTATATCAGCCATTACTTCCATAACATGAAACATATTAGATTCCAGATTTCTTTTATTTTTGCTTATGAATGTATTTCCCCATATCTTTCTTTTTCATTACTTTAAACTATTGGGAATAGAGGCCTGACTTTATGAAGAATCCAGTGGACTGCTAGATATCCATGCCAGGAGAATGGAGAATCAGCTAACAGACTACCCCTGGTGTGTGAGGGAATGAAGTTGGGGGATATGAGAGAATGAGCTTTGCGAATGTCCTGCCTCTGTCATCCATTCAAAGCCCTTGCTCTTGCACTTTGCATTAAAGGTGGGAAATTTTAATCAAAGGGAGCTTTGATTCCCAGTTTGTTCCTGGGGTTTTGTGATGTAATAACTCAACAATTCTTTTGGTTTTACATTTCAATTTAGTTGCCACTATAGAAGAGTAAAGTATAAATGTCAAAACTTCCAAATTGCCTCCAAGTCATATTTTTTGTAGAAGTACATTTAAAGCACTTTTCCTGTAAAAGCTAGCCCCTTACCTACTCTGAAATCTTTGTGCTGTTTTCCTAAGCTAGCCCCTTACCTACTCTGAAATCTTTGTGCTGTTTTCCTATTCCTATTTACCAGATGTAGTCTCTTTCTTTAGTATGTCTTTTTTGGTCCACCATGTTTAGAGGTGGGAGACTTGAGAAACCCAGTTTAACTAGGGCAGAAGGTAGGCAGGTAAAGTACTTTTCAAAGAATGCAATTATTAGCTGGTTGCATTTGACCTTTTGACCTTTGTTATATAATTCAACCCCTCCTACAAACTTCATTTCTTATGAAATTTTTAGATAATTCTTGTAAATTCTTCATGTATGGGGAGTTGTGTTTATTATTGCTACTTTTTAAATTTTCCTATGCCATGTGGCAGATGTTTATTCTCTTAATGCACTTCAGGTTCAGTATCTGTAAAGCCTTTGACTCAGGCCTACTGAGGCAAATCTACATTCACTGTAACATTAAAGGTGGAAACCAAAGGGTTTGAGAAAGATGAATGAGGCCTATTCTCCTTCTGCTGTAGGCTGTATCTTTCAAAATCATAAAAATGAGCAATGGAGATCCAGGCTGAGTATAGACAAGAACAATTATTTTGCAATCACATTTTCCTGACAGATTTTTGGAACTAGGAAAAAAAAAGTGTGGCAACAGTGTCATGAAGATTAAAACTGTGGGTGCTTTGTGTTTGTGCGCATGAGTGCAGATGAGTTTGAAAGAGAAATTGTGTAATTGAGCCCGTCGCTTTTGTCACCCTGGGAAACAGATGCACTCTTATTTTTTGAAGTTGAATGATCCCTGACTGTCCCACAGCAGAAGGTGGAGTGAACACTTATGCTTTAATCATAAGTGGAATGGTCACAATAAGATATTTTATATATGACAAAGTTTTATGAAATGCTTTTTTACTGTTAGAGACCTGTTTCTTCTGTTACTATAGAACACAGTGTTTATCAACTGCAGGCATAATCCTTTTATTATACAGTTGCATGTAAGGGGAACTTCTCATTTAATTCAGCTGACATGGGTATTTTTAGGGCATTGATGGTTTTAAYAATTGCTGAATAATTTTTGATTAAGAAAAAAATCTAATACAATTACTGGTCTTTTAGAGTTACAGAAGTAAATGAGAAAAGCTGTTTGAGCATGTGTACTTATAGATTCATTTGAGTGGCAGAGTAAAGATGCTGCTTTTGAAATAAAATTGGTGCTGTGTAGACACTTCTAACCAAAATTCTTTTTATAACAGGTCCAAGAGAAGGAGAGAAAAGACCACGGACCTTTGAGTCTACGAGTCATACCTAATGGATTGTCCATAGCRTGTCCATATTTTAATGTTGACTTTGTTCAGATTCAGTGGGAGCATATTGACTTTATGAGGCAAAATTCTGTCATAGCCAGTATTGTAGACGCATTGCTTCAGGCACAGTGTATAGAATACACCTCTCTGAAACAAGTTCTTTTTGGTTATGAAAAAGGAAAGCAGTAATAAAAGAAAGCCAAATGAAAACCAAGGGGCCCTTTCTACATGTGGCTGCATCGCTGCTGAAGCCATAGTAGAAGTCAGTTTTTGAATATGAATTGTCGAAATATCCCAGATTGCTTTAAAGAAAAACAAGTACAGWGTCATGTCTTTATTGTTGAGTTTTCTGTTGTTTCTGTAGCCTATTGCCACTGTTGCCACAAATATATAAGAAAGCAGTAGAGATTGTAAGCACCTTGTTTTTGAAGACCTTTTGGTGAAAATTAAGCCCAAAACATAAGTCCACTGTGTGTAACAGGGCTGAATGCTACAATGCTGTTTTTAAAACAAATTGTTGTTTGCTTTTAAAACTGAAAATTCAATTCTAATTAGATTTTTCAGCTATGTTGCAAAGCCAGCAGTGTTAGAAGCAGAGGGCACTTGTTGCACAAAGAGCTGATCACTATTTGAAGCACGCTGCCGATAGCTTTTAGTAACGCACGTGTGAGTGTGGCTTGCTACATGGGAAATGCTAGGCTCCAGGGCATGTAAAACATGAATTCAGAATACTAGATTGTTCTAAGCAATGTCATTTCTGTTTATGAATTTGATTTTTCCCTTCATTTCATGTTAGATTGAAAATGCAAACAAACTGCTTTCAAGAACACCCAGAAGCTATCTGTGTTGCCAGATGTGTTGTGAACACTACTATTTTCATAGGTGCTTCCTTAAAATGTATGTCCATTGTAGTGATGGTGAGGGACTGGACTCTCTCAGGCTCTTTACTTGCCAGTTGTCTCCTGCAGTTAATGGAAATATATATATTTTATTTTAGAACATAATTTAAACATGAAGGTCTATTCTTTGCACTTTTTATTAATATATATAAATATATATATAGATAATCTTTAAAAAATTAAAAATCCAAGTCCATTTTCTCTTTGTGTTTTGATTTTTTTTTTCCTGGAGTGTTGGGTCAAGGGTATGTTTATTTTTATACAGCTAAAAGGGATCAGTTCTGTGGTTGAGTGAGTTCTTTGGTCAGATGGCCTAAACTAGTAAGAGTCTGACCATTTTTATCAAACTTAATTGGAATTTTTTCTGAAATTGAAAATTGCAAAACAAAGATTTATAAGAAATGTGTTATTGCTTTTATGTTAGCAGGATTTCATACTTCTCACATGCTTTTTATTTGTTGAGGATAAAGCCTATCTTTGGAGATATTTGGTACTCCCATTTTTGGAGAAAGATTGAAAATCTCACTTCAGTGAAGTAAAAAGTAAAAACAGCTCATATTAAAGAGCTGGGGTTTTTTTTTCCTTCGTAAAATAATTTTCTAGAAGCAGTATAGTCTGGGGCAGTTGAACCCTATTTGCTTATCAATAATTTCTTGATAAGCCATTATAMATTAACCTTGTATCAAGAATTAAGGTCCAAATATTTCTTCATTTAAAAGACAGAGTCCATGAACTTATTTCTTAATGCTTCAGAAGTGCACAAGTATCTAATCTGTTTAAATTTAAGATTATTTCTACCTCCTATCCAAATTTTAAAGAATTGTGGTTTCAAATTTGTTAAATTCTACTTAATTACTATTTATTGTGAGCTTCTCTGAGAACTTAAAGGTTGACACATATCTAGACATCGAATATCTATTGGATAAATAATGCTGTGACTTTCTCCAGTTATTAGATGCATATAAAACAAAAAGTTGACCTTTTTAAAGTCACTTCAAATCTTTTGGAAAACAAGTTTCCATTTGGTCTTCACAGCAACCCTATCAGGTTGGCACTGTCATACCCATTTTCTTACTAATGAGGAAATTGGTGCATATGAGAGGTTTAGTAACTTGCTGAAACTCAAACAGTTGGTAAATGACAGTAAGACTCAAATTTAGACACAGGTAATTTGGTTGCAGAATCCAAGCACTTGACAGCTATATTGCAGTGCATGCTACTGAAGTTTTCTTTCATACTTRCCCTCACTGTACACACCTGAAATGTTAGTCTTTATGTTTCATTAAAACACTAAAATTAGGGCTGGGGTTGTAGCTCAGTGGTGGAGCATTTGCTTAGTGCGTGTGAGGCACTGGGTTCAAGTTTCAGCACCACATAAAAGTAAATAAAGGCATTCTGGGACTGGGGATATAGCTCAGTTGGTAGAGTGCTTGCCTCATGTGCACAAGGCCGTGGGTTTGCTCCCCAGCACCACATAATAATAATAATAATAATAATATTCTATCCATATATAACTACAAAAATAAAAAACACTAAAATGATATGTTCCTCAATACCCATTTACTTAATTGATTTTCTCTGTAACAGAATCACTGATGTGGCTGATAGCTCCAAATATGCCCTCACACCAATTCCAGCATTGTGGAGCTGCAGTTAGTGCATATCATTGCAGTTGGTCATCATTCCTGCTCCTTTGAAATGCCACACTGGACACTTGTGGTGGGTGCTATTGAGAATAAATGAGGCAGTAATATGATGCAAGAAGACTGACAATTTAGTTTTTAACCTGAAGACATTCTAGAGCCTTCAGCTTGGTTTCAGTAGATAGTCAAARGTAAGAGGGGCCACTCAGTTCCAACTCAGACTTGTGTCAGGGAGGCCCAGTGTTCCAAGTGAACTTAAATTGGTATTTATAGAAGAAAGAAAAAAGAAAAAAACWAGTTTATGATCCCATGGAGCCTTTAGCAAAGGTTTGTTATGGGAAAGGATGAGGCTGTCACTGCTGTTTTTCCTCCTTAACATTCAAGAGGGAGCTTTATGAAGAATATAAATATTGCTTACAAAATAGAGGAGACGGGTTATCTATTATGGACTGCAAGATCTAGCTTTGCCGAAAATATTACAATACAGTTTCGGTTTGTTGACTCCTTCACACAGACCCCTTCCTCATCCTTGAATGCTTCTCAGCCTAAGTCATACAATTAAGGTTAAAAAAGAGGAATAGAGGAGGAAGASATTAGTGAATACAGACCAAATAGAAAAATATTTCAAAAATATCTAATTATGTTTGTGGGCTGATGTCAGCTCTACCACTGTGAAGAAGTAGAACAAGGACAATAGGAACTGCCTCAGTTGTATTAGAAATTTGTTTGCTTTAAATTATAATTTGCTTACAAAAAAGTCTTGAAAACATTTAAATTTAATTTTTAGATAACATTAACATGGTTCAAAAATCAATATAATGAGTTCTCATTCTAATGACTCTATTATTTTCTTGTGTGTCCTCCCAGGGTTTACACAAATATGCTTACTTTACTGAATAAAAGAGAAACAACCAGAATACATATTCCTAAGCATAGAGAGCACTCTTCACAAATGTATTCCCATTTGCTATTAGGAATATATATTCTGATTGTTCCTCTTTTATGCAGCAAAGTTAGCATCTTATACATTGTCATACACCTTGCTTTTTTCACTAAAAACATCTTGGAGATTTCACTGTGATCATACATAGGGAATTGGCTTATCCTTTGCATACAATATAAGCATTCCTTTTATAGATGTACTATAATTTATTTAACCAACATTCTATGCATTGACATTTGAGTTTTTCTCTCTCAATTTCCTCCCCTTCCCCCTTCCCCCTTTTTTGTGTGTGTGTGTGTGTCTTCTATTATTTTCATTCTGCTGCAGTAAACAGCATCTGTTCTTTTACACATTTTGAAGTACATCTGTAGAATACATTCCCAGAAGTGAGATTGCTGGATCAAAAGGTCAAAGTGTTTGTAATTTTAGTAGATAACTCAAATTGTTCTCCAAGGGGGTTATGTAAAATAAGGATTCTCCCCCTCTGGGTTTATTAGGTGTCACAGTACTACAAAGTTAAAGACTTCACTGATGTTGAGCTTGATGCAATTCCTGGTTAGTGCAAGCAGGACAGCCTTTTTCCCAATTAGGCACTGCAAATCTAGGAACTTGAATTCAACACATTACAGATTTGGTGAGCCATACATCTCTCTTATGAGCCTTCTTTCCTATGGAATCTGTAATTTTTAATCATTGGAAGTGATTTTCATCTCTGCTGCAGAAGGTGCATGTATTATTTATCCTTAACAATGTCTGAGCACTTATTCCAGCTGAGTGCCCCTGAAAAGTGATGAATTAATTGCCCTGAAATCCCATGCTTATTGTCTACAGTAAGCTTTAATCAGAACTGGGTCTTGCATACCAGTGAAATGTCTTGTAGAAGAACTATATGGTGCTCCTTGGGAGATAGTATGTCTGCTTCTCTCCAATTTTTTTCCAGCTTTATTTCTAATATGTTAGCAAGCATATTAGAAAAAGGCCAATTGTGAGTCTTTTGATTATATCAGTCTACTTAGAATTAGCTATTATAAACTTCTTGCCTGGAAATACAGTTGTAGTCAGAAAACATCTTCAAGTCCTTCTTTAAGTTCAAAGATGAACATCTTTGAGCCCTTAGACCTAGAAAATATTGATTAGTTAATAAACATTAATAAATGTCACTGTAGTTTTAAGAAAAAAAACCCATACATTGTTTCTCAAATTTATTAATATTAGCCCAAATCCAGAATCTCGAATAATTAAGACCAACACAACATAAATAACTTGCAGACAAATACTATTAATTATTGGAAAAGATGGATTCCAAAACATTTGTACCACAACTTAAACTCATTTTTAAGTGTTTAAGGGGGGGCAGTGTACTAGGGATTGAACTCAGGGCACGTGATCACTGAGCCCTGTTCCCAGCCCTATTTTGTATTTTATTTAGAGACGGGGTCTCACTGAGTTGCTAAGTGCCTGGCTTTTGCTGAGGCTGGCTTTGAACTCATGATCCTCCTGCCTCAGCCTCCCTTGCCGTTGGGATTACACCGCACCTGGCTTCACAATTTAAACTCTTAATGCTTCAGTCTACAGTTAAGTGGTTATTACTGTGATACTAGTAAATAAGAAAAATGAGACCAGGCATGTTGGCGCACAATTGTAATCCCAGCAGCTTGGGAGKTTGAGGCAGGAGAATCACAAGTTCAAAGCCTGCCTCAGCAACTTGAGGCCC